CAAGAATGGACCATATTAGGTCCGGTGGGCGGAGCTATAGAACGAATCCATCATCTGTAAGGTGTGAGACGCCTTCTTTTATGACTTCGTGACGGTTTTATGACTCTTGATGAGCACCAAGTATGGTCATTGGTGCTCCTGGGAAGAGTGGGATCACGGTGGCTGGGACACCCCGTATTTTGGGTGGTGAAATGGGCGCATTGCGAGGAATTTGCTTTGAGGAATGTTCCGAAAGCCAAAAATCGGGAATAATTTTAGACTATTTTAAGAGCCAATTTTGGATTATTTTAAGCCGACTGTAGCGAATTTTAAGTTAGTTTTAGACCATTTTAAGCCGATTTCAGCCAATTTTGGAACATTTCGAGCGAATTCAAGCTAAGAATTTTTCGAGAAATTTCACCTCAAAATAGTTCATAATAGTTCGAATTTCAAGATTTTCGGATTTAAAATGACCTGAAAATCCTATGTTTCGACCTTGAATCGCCTAAAAATCATTATTTTGGCTTCGAAATGACTAGAAAATTGCTTTGACCATAGTTTGTGATTTTTAGCTTAAAATGTTCCAAAAATTCCATTTTTCAACTTGAAATGACTGAAAATAGCCCCAAAATCAAGGTTTTCAGCTTAAAATGATCCGAAAATCCCGAGGTTTTCGATCCAGGACGGATTTTTACACCGTTTAAGGTTACTGTAGACGAAAAACACTAAGGAATCAGCGTTTCTGAGGAGGACGATTTTAGACGCATTTTTGACTGAAATTCGATGAAAATATGAGTTTAATTTAAAGAAGCGCCGAAGGATTACTGTAGTTGAAAAATGAGCAATCTTGCTTTTTCTTTTCCATTTTCAAGCTCCTCCGTTTCAAAGCTCTTTCAAATTTCGGCCAACTTCAAAATGCCGACTCCTCGACAGAGTGGAATCACGAAGAAAGAAGCTCTAGCCATCATCCAACGATGCAAAGCTAGAGTCGCTGCGAGCTCCCGACGAGCACAAGGAACTCGTTTCACCGAGTTTCAATATTCAGTGCTCCAAGCTCGCTTCGCCGTCAAGCCGGCGCCAAAGGCTCGAGAGCAGAGTGCCCTGAGCCAGGCCATCGGGATGACTCCGAAACAAGTAGAAGACTGGTTCAAGCATACCAGCAAGAAGGCCAGCAAGTTCAAGAAGACCAAAGACAAGGCAGTTTTGAAGATCCTCAAGGATGCTAAGAAGGAGATTGGGAGATTCCCCAACACTCACTTATCGCTCAAGAACCGTGCCGTCTTGTGTGCTTGGTTCGAGATCCACAATAAGATCAGTGCCCCGGAGCAAGTGGAGCTGGCGAAAGAGCTGGGCATCAGATCCTTGTCGATACAGTACTGGTTCAATTCGAGAAGGAAGAAGATCAGAAATGGGAGAGGTGTGGAGGAAGCCGTTTATGATGATGATGACCCAGAGGAGGATGAGGATCCCCAAGATCAAGAAAATCAGGCTGATCTGGAGGATCAAGAAGATCAAGACCAAGATGAGCAAGTCCAGGCTGACTTGGAAGAGCCAGAAGACCAAGATTCCACAGATTCCAAAGCCGACCATGACGACGAGGGACGCCAGGAGGAGAATCTGGAAGAGATACCAGAAGATCAAGAAGAGCAGGATCCAATGGAGGATGCTGAGGACGAGCTGGAAGATCCAGAAGATCAAGAAGAGCAGGATCCAATGGAGGATACTGAGGACGAGCTGGAAGATCCAGAAGACCAAGAAGAGAAGGATCCAATGGAGGAAGAAGATCCCGCTGATTTGGAAGAACCAGATGCTCAAAATCCCATGGATTCAGAAGACGATGAATCTCGTCAGGCTGAGAATCTTCACGAGCTACCAGAGCATCAAGAAGACCAAGAGCCAATGGAAGAGCTTGCTGATTCAAATGGCCAGGAACTGGACTTTCAGAGTCTTGTTGAGAATGGAGGAGCTGAGGATCAGAAGCAGAATCTCCCAGAGAACCAGGATGTCGTCAACAGAGAGATGCTACAGAATCCAGAAGATCTAGAGGAGCCAGATGCTGTTGAGGATGCTTCAGAAGACCCAGAAGACCCAGAGGAGCCAGTTGTCGATGCGGATGCTCCAGAGGGTCCGGCTCCAGATCAAGCTCCAGATTTTCACATCAATCAATGGCCAGAGGAAGATCAAGATGCTCAATTTGGCCGTCAAGCTCCTGATAATGAGGATGGCATGGCTGCAGATCGTCCGGGCCGCTTCAGAGAAGGCCGAGAGCTTCCACAGGGACTGAATCAGCACCAAATTGATTACCAGAACGATTTGTTCATGGATTTTTAGAGGTAGGTAGGTAGAACCCTGTAATAGAAGGGCACCCACACTGTCAACTCTAAGCTCAATTATCTCGATTCTTATGCAAGTTATCAAGAATGTGTCAACTGATAAAACGCTTATCATAATATCACCAACATTTTATCAGTTGACCCAGTTTTTAATCTTTCATAGGAATCGATATAATTGAGCTCAAAGTTGACGATTTGGGTGGCCTTCTATTAGAGTGAATACGGTAGTTAATTGAATAATAATTTTCAGAGAAAGCGGCTTATCAGCAATTGATCATTCGATACTTCATGTCCAATGATCCGTCCTGTAGCTATTTCTTTGGTGCGTTTGATTGACTATTTTTTTTGACTATTTTTTATTTTTGACTAGTTAAGACTAATTTTCGCTCACTTTTGATTAATTTTAGTCCATTTTTGACCAATTTCGACTACTTTTGACTCATTTTGGATCATTTTTGACTGACTTTGGACCATTTTTGACTCATTTAGGTCCATTTTTGACTGATTAAGATCCATATTTTGGCTGATTTTGGACCATTTTTGATCAATTTTTGACTAATTTAGACTAATTTTTGGTTTATTTTGACTGATTTTGGACCATTTTTGACTGATTTTGGACCATTTTTGACTCATTTAGGTCCATTTTTGACTGATTAAGATCCATATTTTGGCTGATTTTGGACCATTTTTGATCAATTTTTGACTAATTTAGACTAATTTTTGGTTTATTTTGACTGATTTTGGACCATTTTTGACTAGTTTTGGATTAATTTATGGCTGATTTTGGACCATTTTTGACTAATTTTGGACCATTTTTGACTGATTTTGGACCATTTTTGACTCATTTAGGTCCATTTTTGACTGATTAAGATCCATTTTTTGGCTGATTTTGGAACATTTTTGATCAATTTTTGACTAATTTAGACTAATTTTTGGTCCATTTTGACTAATTTTGGACCATTTTTGACTAGTTTTGGATTAATTTATGGCTGATTTTGGACCATGTTTGACTCATTTAGGTCCATTTTTGACTGATTTTGGACCAATTTTGACTAATTTTCGACCATTTTTGACTGATTTTGGACCATTTTTGGCTAATTTAGACTATTTTTTGGACCATTTTAGCTGATTTTGGACCATTTTTGACTAGTTTCAACTAATTTTTGGTCCATTTCGACTCATTTAGGACCATTTCTGACTAATTTTGGACCATTTTTTTACTAATTTTTGGCTAATTTAGGATCATTTTTAACGATTTGTTTAGTTTGAAGAATGAGATTCCCAGAAAAAAGTCATTTTTTTCAGAATTCCTTTAATTGCACATCGTCTGAAGCTTCAAATGTTATTCTATGTGATATAAAGTCCTCCCTATGCAAGGAAAAATCCCTAAATTTGGATTTTTGATTTTTTTCCTCAAAGATTCCTATGATTCTATCAACTTTATACCTATTTTCCCCCTATTATTTTCCCCAAAAATCCCTAATTTTCACTAATTTTCAAAATCTCCCTCTTACCAATAAATACTCGGTTCGATCCTTTCCATTTCTCAAAAGCTCGAAAGCTCTGAACTCATCGAGTTTCTCGAAAATTCCTTCGATATGACGCCAACAAGAGTGAGCCACCTTCAGATCCTCCGTGTTGTTTCCCTGGAAATCAAAAATTGAGCGAACTGTAGATTACGGTAGATTTTCACTTTTTTTTTGATTTTTGAATTTTAGGGATTACTGTAGCGTTTCGGATATTTGAGATTCCAGAATTTCTGTATTTTTCTTTTCAGTTTTTGTTGTTCATATTTTGAGAATTACTGTAGATTGGGTTACGGTAATCAGGGGATTACTGTAGTTTTAGAAAATGAGCAATCCGAGTAGACTACTGTAGGGTTGGAATTCCGAAAGCTGAGGATTACTGTAGACTTTCAAAATTCCAAAATTTAGAATATTACTGTAACTACAGTAATCCTTTGAAATTTCTGAAAAAAATTCAAATTTTTGTTATTTTTGATTTTCTGGAATTTTTGATTTTTTTGGATTTTTGAGTTTCTGAATTTTCTGAATTTTCGATATTTGGATTACTGTAGTTTCAGAAAATGAGCAATCATAGTAGGTTACGGTAGATTTGGAGTTTCGAAAACTGAGGATTATTGTAACTACAAAACTGAGGATTACTGTAGATTACTGTAACTACTGAGGATTACTGTAACTACAGTAATTCTTTGAAATTTCTGAGAAATTGAAATTCTGCAATTATTGGATTTTTAGATTCCTGAAATTTCGAATTTTCGATAATTTCGAATTTTTGATAATTTTGAATTCCGAAATTTAAGATTAAAACCTTTTTGTGAATATTTCTAGGCAGTTTCAATCATCGAAAATCACGAATTTTCGGTAGTTTTTCAGTCAGAAAATCTGATTTTCAGCTTTTTTGGGTACAAAATTCATAATTTTTCAGTTAAACTCGCCTAGAAATGCTTAGAAATCGATTTTCATCGTTTTCTCCAAATTTTCGGCGTATTTTTTATGATTTTTAGCTCGATTTAAGCCAATTTCGGATCATTTTAAGCTGATTTTAGCCGATTTTGGACCTGTTTTGGGCCATTTTAGGCCGATTTAAACTCAATTTAAGAAAATTTCGGACCATTTTAAGCCAATTTTAAACCAATTTTATACGTTTTTGGACCATTTTATGCCGATTTAAACTCATTTTAAGCCGATTTTGGGCCATTTTCAGCTAATTTTAGTTGATTTTTAGCCAATTTTCGCCGATTTTCGCCGATTTGGGACCATTTTAGGCCGATTTCAGCTGATTTCTAGCTAATTTCGGATTATTTTAGACCTGGTTTTGATCATTTTAAGCCAATTTTAGCCGATTTC